TATATATATATATATATATTATATATATATATATATATAAGATGTTTTACGAAGTTAATATTTTAATAATATTTTTTTCATGTTACTGTTATAATATCCTACACTGTTAAAAAATTCAGAATGAAATTACTTTATAACGTACTGTTTCTTTGTGTGCATCATCCGTATAAAATCTTTTTTACCATAAAAAATATTTTTGCCATAAAATCTTGTACCGTAATTTTTACAGTAATATTTATTTATTCAATGATTTAACTGTAACTATTACAGCATATCAGATTTTTGTTCCCCTATATGTGTCTATGAAAATGGATTTTACGATAAAATGTGACGTTGCTTTTTACCGTAATTTGATCTGGAATCAAAAAATTATAAAATTTATTTTTTATTAAAAGCATTTTTTATTTATTAACCATTTAAATAATGAAGTAATGAATAAAATATTTAATAAAAGCATAAGATGAATAAGTTCATTAATTAAATGTATGAAGCACAGCAGTTTATATTTCAATCTGAAACGAATAAATCAACAAGCATTCTATCATATCTTGAAAAAAAATAGCAAATAAATTTTTAAATCAATTAAAATATTAATAATAAACATTTAAAAATGTTCACAAAGAAAAATTGTTAAATATAATTATGATTGCCAAAAATTTCTCTTACGTTTTATTTGATACGTTAATAAATTAGTTTCTATTTATTGAGGCGCAATTATAAAATAAAAATACCTTAATAAAAATACCCTAAAAAATAAATTATTTTTAATTTTATAAAATAAGGCTTGGCGATACCGTTAATATTTAATAAACTGAATACGAAAAATATTATATACTGTAATAACATATATTTTGAAAATAATAATTAGTTTCTCTGTTACAAAGGACGCATCAGTTATCAGGATTTCAAGTATTATTCATAATGAAACAACTCAAATTTAAGTTTTCTCTTTTACTAACAAATATCTGTTTTTTGAAATGTAGATTTAAAAGAAATAAGAAAATAATAAAAAACTAACAACTATTAAAAACCTTATAAAATAATATGCATTTTGGTAAATAACATCAAAATTTGAACACAGAAAATATTGAATAATGAAATAACAAAGATATTCGATAAATGAAGTTTAGTTTTTTTTTTTTTCGTATGAGAAGTGTGAATTTTCAAAATATTTCCAAAAATCATCAACTCTTACCATAGGAATATATTTTATATATTACTTAGAAAAAACGATTAAAAATAAATATCTATTCCTTGAAGTGTAATTTTTAATAGAAAACCGAATAGTGAAAAAAAAGGTAATCAAAAGCTGTCAAATCACTTTAAGATTTATAATATAATATAAAGCACAGAAGACTCCGTAAAACTTTTAAAAATAGAACACAGAAAATATTGATTAATGAAGCAACATGAATATTCTATTTTTAAAAGAAATTGAGTTTTATAGTGTCTTTAAGAACCTCAAAAACCTTTACCCAAAGAGAATGTTTTTAATATTATTACAAAGAAAATATTACAAATAAATTTGTATTCATTGAAGTGTGTTTTTTAAATAGAAAACTGAGTCATAAGAGATTTAAAAAAATTAATATATATAAATAAATAATGACACGGTAGACCACGCTAAAAGTTTTAAAATTAAAAACAGAAAATTCCAAATCATGAAGTAATTTAACAATTTCATGAATAAAATTTGTTTTTGTTTTTTGTCATGTATGTAGCGTCAAATCTCAGAAAATCTTAAATATCAGACAAAAAGTTTTAATTATTTTAAAAAAAGGCATTTCAATAAAACTTTTTAATAAAATAAAGTAAGGCTGATCACGTCAACAGTTTAAAGACGCATTATAAAAATTATGGTAAATCTCTGCAACATATGCAAGGTGTTCGGTAAGAGTAGTCCTTAATATTTAAATTCAGAATCCTCATTAAATATTTAAATAAAATGTATGCACATTTGAAATCACAAACTATTATTTAAGTGAGGTGAAAACAAAAACTCTTTTTACAAATCACATTAGGAAAAAGAAACGTGTGTACGAAACACAAAAAGAAAGAAAAAGAAAACAGATAAAATTTTTAAAAAATAATAATTCTAACAACTGTCGCAAATATTTTTAAGTTTATGACCTGTAGTGCTTCTCACAAATGACTTCCTCAATTGTGACTTTTTTTTCAGATTTTCAAAGAGCTTTTCATTTAATTAAACATTCTTAATTAAACGCTGTAAACGACATTTAAACTAAATTTTTATAGTAAAAATTTGATATAATATTCAAAATGTTTAAGATTGCATAAATAAATGTAAACTAAATAACTTTCAGCCTGAGTTTTACTTTTAGGAAAGCTGAATTTCCTATAATTAGAAAGAAAAATTGAAGAAAAGATTTAAAATTAGCATCAATTTTAGTTATTATTTTTTTAACGATTGAACATAATTTATACTGCTCTTAATAATTTTTATCTTATACCAAGAAAGATGTCAAGATATAACAATAAGGCCCTTTCCTAAGCTTTTTAATATATCTAGTTGTTGACTTATGATAAATAATATTTAAAAATGCAAATTCAAAAATTTGATGCAAATTGATTCATATTTTTAACACAGGTATATTTTCATGCTTGAATCAAGCAAAAAAAAAATAAAAAAAAATTTGTATAAAACAATCAATTCATCTCACAATTTTTTTTTATTAACACTAAATTTTTTGCCAATAAAAACTAAAATAATTATGAATCTCGATTTTTACCAAAACGCACTAAGCAAAGCTCAGTATTATTTCTGTAAGTAAGCTAATTGGTTTTAGAATGGAAAGTTTCTCATAGTCATGTAATGGTTTGACCCTAAATTTGCGTTGTTGTAACTTATAAACAAAAAACACACTAAATAATGCATAATATTCGTATATCTGTAAATATATAACAGTCCCTTAATAATAATAATAACAGTCCCCTAATAATAACAGTCCCTGTAAATATATAAAAGGCCCTTTCCTAAGCTTTTTAATCTATCTAGTTGCTAACTTATGATAAATAATATTTAAAAATGCAAATTCAAAAATTTGATGCAAATTGATTTTGCAGAAAGAAGTTTCATATTTTTAACACAGGTATATTTTCATGCTTGAATCAAGCAAAAAAAAAATATACAAATTTTTGTATAAAACAATCAATACATCTTACAATTTTTTTTTATTAGCACTAAATTTTTTGCTAATAAAAACTAAAATAATTATGAATCTCGATTTTTACCAAAACGCACTAAGCAAAGCTCAGTATCATTTCTGTAAGCTAATTGGTTTTAGAATCGAAAGTTTCTCATAGTCATGTAATGGTTTGACCCTAAATTTGCGTTGATGTAACTTATAAACATATAACATACTAAATAATGCATAATATTCGTATATCTGTAAATATATAGCGATCATTATAGTTAACATGTAGTAAAAAATAAACGAATAAAAATGGGAGTTTTAGTTTGTTTTGTTTTCATTTTTTTACAACCGACGTTATACAGTTGACTAATTCTTGGGTTTGCAGACATCAATGGTCAATTCCATATTTTTGTAATTTTAAACCCGACTCAGAAAGCTAGGGAACTCTTGAATCAAGAATTTCGAAAAACCAGCCTCCTTGAGGGACTTTTTTTTTTATGGAACTAACTCGCATTCATAGAGAGGAAAACCACTCACGGTTTGCCCACCGGTAAGGGGATTCTGTCCCATTATCCGCCTTCTATTGAGAATATTTTAAGTCAGCACTGTGGTTGATAAGGACAGAGAGCAGAATTTAAATCAATCAGTCATTGCTGGGATTCGAACCTAGTTCATCTTATCATTAAAATAATTATAATTCGATTGTATTTATATGGATTTATTTCCTAATAAAGCCATATGACGCCCACAGAATTCGATTGTAATTATATTAATAATTTCAATTTTTAATTAATTAATTATTTATGGTGGCTAACGTGGTATCCTTTTATGACTTCTCTTAATTCATTTTTCTTATTATCGTTGTTGAAAACATGTCAGTAAAGTGGCAACCCTTTAAATAAAAATAAAAACTTTTTTAAAGCATTAAATTAGTATCTGTATTCGGACTTAATAGATTTTCTTTGTCAGAATTGATGAGATGGGAAGAGCGATATGATCTTCGTAATTAGCTCGTAATTATTTTTAGGATACATTTTATTGGTTGAACTCACAATTTTTTTCATGGAACTCAACATATTTTGAACTAAAATATCTGTTTTATATTTTTTTCCCTCTAAGTTTTCACACCCCATCAGCATTCTTTTTTAAAAATTTTCATTTATGCCTTTTTAATTTCATATTTTTTTTTATTTTTTTTTATGAGTACTTTATTTTAATGCATTCTGATACGATTTATTTCTGTTAAATTTAGCGTAAAGATTTTCAAATATTTATCTCGTCGCTTTATTTTTGTGAAACTTTATTTTACATTTTTAAATTAAAGTAATTTCTGAAATAGATTTACGTATTCTAATGACGTTGATATGAGTAAAGGTCCTTGACAGAGAAATTTCTTGAATTACTTCTTGATGTTAATTTTTGAGTTATAT